CCCAGCCCCAGCTCCCCCTAGCCTTGCTTCTTCCTAAAGCCGCTACAATTTGCATTGATTCAGTGCTAAAAATAAGTTGGCTATTGCTCATCCATGAGACTGGGATACCCTATCTGCCTCTAGCATTGCTGATCTTCAGTGCTGACTACCTGAGTCATCATTTTCAATGAATGTACACAATCCCCTTTGTCCATTGTCCCATGTTAGAACAAAGAATCCATACACCCTTTGTGTTAATGTTAGGAAGTGTTAATTAATCGAGTTTCATATCAAGCAATTATTGTCCATAATTCAAGTTCATCATCATCTCAATCCTCTGCCCTTAAGAAAGGAGAAACCATTCCTCTGTCATTGCTGCAGTAGTCACAGTCCCAATTTTCTGGGCAGTGCTCATATACTGTGCTGACCACCTAAACTCTGCACTGAGTGAAATTCTAATTGTCCATAATTCTGCCCATTGGATTAAATCTCAGTCCAAAACCCTTTTGCATTCAGCAAGGGGCATAGAAAACCCAAGTCTTGTTCAACAGTAAACGTGCTCAGTCCCAATTGTCATAACCTTGTCCATTAAACAAAGGCACCCTACTTTTTTGCCCTGCTTCTGGAGAGTCCTGCTGTTCTTGGACAATTAAAATATCAAATTGTTGTTGTACGTTGTCTCGCTCATTAATCAACGATCCTCCATCCCCTTTGCATTGCTGCTAGGTAGTGCTGACTACCTGAGACCATGTTCCTTGAATTATTAATGAGTATAATCCCAATTGTCTATATCCCTGTTCATTACACAAGTCCTTGACAACTTCTTTGCACAATAGCAGAAGTGCTCATTCTCAAAGCCCTTTACTTTGGAATGTTAATGGATACAATCATTATTGTTCATGGACCTGCCTAACAGATGAGACCCACCCATGCTCTTTTCATTGCTCCTAGGTAGTACCTACCAACTTGCATAGTATATAAAATCCTCCTTGCCCATGGTCCCACCCATTAGGATATTCCTTACCTCTATGCCATTGCTTCTAAGGAGTTCTGATTACCCAAGGTCCCTTCTCTTAAAGTTGATGTGCATAAATGCATATATTCATGGTCCTGTGCAATAAAAAATGGAATCTCACCCCATGCCACCCTCTGTGGGATATTGCTCGAAAGTGCAGATTATTCAAGAACTCAGCTCTTGGACAGTTAATTTGCAGTTGCAGTTGTCCAGAAAGAGCCACTGTATCCCATTTGCATGCTATAATGTGGGCCCATCACTCAAGGACCCTTCTCTTGAATTGAAAATGTCCATAATTGCATTTGTCCCTGTCCTGTGAAGTAGCCACACCCACTCCCTTTGTATTCCAGCCAGGGACCTTTACTACTCAAGAACTCTGTACTAGGACAGTTTACATGCACAATCCTAATTGGTTAAAACTGAACCTTTGGTATGAAGAACCCTGCACCATCTTTACTTTACATCTGAAAGGTGCTAATTACCTAAGGCCCTTCTTCTGAAATTGTTCATGCGCAAAATTGATATCCCCAATGTCTCTTTTGTTAAACTGGATCCCATCCCCACTTAACTCCCTTTGCATTACTACAGAGGGCACTTGGAACAGTTAACGTGCTCAATTACAGCTGTGGTCCCTTCTGTTAGTCTAGGAGCCCATCCCCTCCACTTGCTTTGCATTATTGAGAGGGTACCTGGGACTGTTAATGGGCTTAATTGCAGCTAAAGTCCCTTCCCTTAGTCTAGGATCCCATCCACTCCTAAGCACTTTACATTACAACAGAGGATACAAGGGACTGCTAATGTGCTTAAATGCAGCTACAGTACCTTATGTTAATCCAGGATCTCATTCCCACCTAACTCCATTTGCATTACTGCAGAGGGTACTTGGGACTGTTAATGTGCTTCATTTGCATCTACAGTCCCTTTTGTTAGTCTAGGATCCCATTCCCACCTACTACCCTCACATTACCACAGAGAGTACAAAGGGCTGTTAAGTGCTTAAATGCAGATACTGTCCCTTATGTTAGTGTAGTGTTCCATCCTTTCCAACTCTCTTTGCATTACTACAGAGAGTACATGAGACAGTTAACTACTTAAATGCAGATACTGTCCCTTATGTTAGTGTAGGGTTCATCCTCTCCAACTATTTGCATTACAAGAGAGGGTACTTAGGACCTTTAAGGTGCTTAATTGCAGATATGGTCCTTTCTGTTTGTCTAGGATCTCATCCCCTCCAACCCCCTTGCATTACTGCAGAGGACACTTGGGATTGTTAGGGGCTTAATTGCAGCTACCGTCCCTTCTGTTGTCTAGGATCGCATGCCCTCCAACTCCCTTTGTATTACACAGGAGATACTTGGGACTGTTAATGGGCTTAATTGCACCTACAGTCCTTTCTGTTACTAGGATCTCATGCCTTCCAACTCCCTTTGTATACACAGAGGGGACTTGGGACTGTTAATGTGCTTAACTGCAACTACAGTCCCTTCTGTTAGTCTAAGATCCCATGACCTCCAGTTGCCTTGCATTACTGGGTGGTATTTATGACAGAAAAGTACTTAATTGCCACTGCTCCCTTCTGTTGTCTAGAGTCCCCTGCCCTCCAACTCCCTTTACATTACACAGGGGGTATTTGGAACAGAAAGGTGCTTAATTGCAGCTGTGGTCCCTTCTGTGAGTCTGGGATCCCGTGCCCTCCAATGCTCTTTGCATTACACCCAGAGTACTTGGGACTGTTAATGGGCTTAATTGCACCTACAGTCCCTTTCCCTTCTGTGAGTCTGGGATCCCATGCCCTTCAATGCTCTTTGCATTACACACGGGGTACTTGGGACTGTTAATGGGCTTAATTACACGTACAGTCCCTTCTGTTAGTCTAATATCCCATGTCCTCCAACTCCCTTTGCGTACAGCAGAGGGTACTTGGGATTGTAATTGTGCTTAATTGCATCTGTGGTCCTTTCTGTTAGTCTGGGGTCCCATGCCCTCCAATTCTCTTTGTATTACACACGGTATACTTGGACTGTTAATGGGCTTAATTGGCAGCTACAGTCCCTTCTTTTTGTCTAGGATTCCATCCCCTCCAACTCTTTTTGCATTACACAGGGGGTATTTGGGACTGTTAAAGTTCTCAATTGCAGCTACAGTTCCTTCTGTGCTTCTAGTGTCCAATGCTCTCCAACTCCCTTTGCATTACATAGGGGGTATTTGGGACAGAAAGGTGCTTAATTGCATCTGTGGTCCCTTCTGTTAGTCTGGGACCCCATGGCCTCCAACTTCCTTTGCATCACACAGGGGGTACTTGGGACTGTTAATGGGCTTAATAGCAGCCACAGTTCCTTCTGTTAGTTTAGGATCCCATGCCTTGCAACTCCCTTTGCATAAGCGGAGGGTACCTGGGACTCTTAATGTGCTTAATGACAGCTGTGGTCCCTTCTGTTTGTCTGGGATCCCATGCCCTCCAATGCCCTTTGCATTACACAGGTGGTTCTTGGGACTGTTAAAGTGCTCAATTGCAGCTACAGTTCCTTTGTTTCTAGGGTCCCATGGCATCCAACTCTCTTTGCATTACACAGTGGGTACTTGGGACTGTTCATGGGCTTAATTGCAGCCACAGTCCCTTTTGTTAGTCTAGGATCCCCTGCCTTCCAACTAACTCCCTTTGCATACAGTGGAGGGTACCTGGGATGGTTAATGTACCTAATTGCAGCTGTGGTCCCGTCTGTTTGTCTGGGATCCCATGCCCTCCAGTTCCCTCTGGGTTAGGCACAGGGTACTTGGGACTGTTAATGGGCTTAATTGCAGCCACAGTCCCTTCTGTTAGTAAGATCCCATGCCCCCCAACTCCTTTTGCATACAGCAGAGGGTACCTGGGAGTCCTAATGTGCTTAATTACAGTGTGGTCCGTTCTGTTTGTCTAGGATCCCATACCTTCCAACTCCCTTTGCATTACACATGGGGTATGTGGGACTGTTAATGTTATGGGACAGTTGCTGCTACAGTGCCTTCTGTTTGTCTGGGATCCTATGCCCTCTAACTCCCTTAGCATACAGCAGAGGGTACCTGGGACTTTTAATGTGTTTAACTGCAGATACAGTCCCTTCTGTTAGTCTAAGATCCCATACCCTTCAACTGCCTTGCATTACCAGGTGGTATTTATGACAGAAAAGAGCTTAATTGGATCTGTGGTCCCTTTTCTTAGTTTAGGATCCCATGTCCTCCAACTCCCTTTACATTACACCGGGGGTTCTTGGGACTATTAAAGTGCTCCATTGCAGCTATAGTTTCTTCTGTGCTTCTGGGATCCCATGCCCTCCAACTCCCTTTGCTTTACACGTGGAGTACTTGCGACTTTTAATGTCCTTGATTGTGGCCACAGTCCCTTCTGTTAGTACATTCTCATGCCCTCCAATCCCCTTTGCATACAGCAGAGGTTACCTGGGAGTCTTAATGGGCTTAATTGGATCTGTGGTCCCTTCTGTTACTCTAGGATCCCAGGCCCTCCAACTCCCTTTGCATTACACAGTGGGTACATTGGAGTGTCAGTGGGCTTATTTGCCACTCTGGTCCCTTTTGTTAGCCTGGGATCCCATGCCCTCCAACTACCTTTGCATAAGCGGAGTGTACCTGGGACAGTTAATGTGCTTAACTGCAGCTACAGTCCCTTCTGTTAGTCTACGATCCCATGCTCTCCAACTCGCTTGCATTACCAGGTGGTATTTATGACAGA